CCCATTATCCCCAAAGAAGACCTAACTCTCTGGACAAGTCTATAATGCTGGGAAAGGTGGAAGGAAAGAAAGGAAGAAGATGATCAGCAGCAAGGTAGATGGACTCAATTACAGCAGTGATAGGTACAACGTTGGAAGATCTGAGGGTTGAGGATAAATCCTCCTGGAGAAAATTCATCTATGTGGTCACTAAGAGTCAAAACTGAACTGATGGCACAGAATTAGCCAATCCCAAAAGAAAGCAATATAAACCATTTCTCTATCATTTCCAACAAAACAACATGGACCTCTCTATCTAGGCGTCAGAAAGACACGTTATATTTTTTTTAATCCAGATACTATCTCTTATTATAGTAATTCTAAAATCCCTGGGCATGTAAAATAATTTTAGAACCAATTATCAAATAATATAACAAATACCAATAAAACTAACAAGGAATGAGCTGAGAATGACAACTAGTCGCGTATTCATTGCGGTAGCCACTAATTACTCCAAAACTCCTAGGACTTTTAAATCCCTGGATAATAAGCTTTCCCAATTCCCACCCCACTCAGTAGACCAGACCAGGAAAATCAACTGCGCAAGAAGGCTAAAACTACTTTTATGGGGATTGGCCATAATAACAGAATCTTGCAATTCTGATTGTGTTGCACCTGCTCCTCCTTATACTCCAGTGAATTAGGGAGGTGTCTGCCAAACTTCCAAATGTTATCTTGTGGTAGACTTAAAAAATGTTTCAGCCCCTTTTGCTAGGTAATGGTTCCTGCATATCTCCATCTCTATCTTATCTTCCTTCCTCTCTACATCTAACTGCTTTCTTGTACCTTCAGAGGGAATAAAATCAGACCATGTGTGACACTGCTACCAAAAACCTATGTTTAAGCAGTCGTCTACAGCTAAGTACATGCTGACAGTTCGCTCAGAGAGGAATATATATTATTTAGCACAACACAGACTTACCTTGTCATTATTATAGTAAGACATGTTTTCGCCATCAAATTTCACCCAGCGTTTCTGAAACACATGCTTCCTACAGGTGAAGAAAGGAAAAGGCTTTTTGAAAAGAAGAAGAGGTCTGCTAGGGTAGTTCCCTGTCCTGTGCACTCAGTGAAGTCTACAGAATGCAAAAATCACAACAGAGTTCTTCTCATTCATCAAACCTTGCAATGAAGGAATTGCAACCTCATAAACTCAGAGATGTCCAGGAAGGTAAAAAAAAAAAAAAAATCACAGTGTTGGCCAGAACCATGCGATTGAAGCTCTGCCCCCTTTTTACAAGCATCTTCCATCGCAGTCTTGGCCCCCCTCTTCTCTTTTTTGACTTCCCTGAATTCACTTGTCATGAAATGGGCCTTCCATGAGACAAAAGGAAAACCCCTAAGACTAATCAGTTACCCTTCATATTCTCTAAAGTCCTATAATTGACTATACTTGGGTACATACCCTTGAGGAGAGAGTTTATCCAGCCAACCTTCTTTAATCTTCTTTGCTGCTGGGGCATAAAAGCAGGCATAAGGTGTAATTGTGTCTTTGGAGTCACTGACCAATTCATCACCACAAGCAGCCTGGGGAGAAAACATCTGGTCTTTAGCCTCAAGATCCAGATTCCCACTTCTGAACTCTCCGAGCCCCTTTGACGGTTTATATTTTCCTCTCCAAGCATATCGAGAGCATTCTTTCATCAAGGAGGACTCCGCTTCACCGACAAATTTGTTTGGAAAGGCACTTCTGTCTCTTTGGGACGCCAATTCTGTGTCTTTTACATTTTCAGAGGCTTTCTGATTTTGATTACTAGTAGGCAAACTATGGAAAAAAGAAAAAAGAAAGGTAATGTTACTTCCATCAATCCATTTGGCTCCAAAGACATGCTGACACCTGGTGACTTCATGAACACATTGGTGTAATTTCCCTGCTGATAAACCATAAGGGATCGCTCGTTGCTTTCTTCTGGGATGCCCTCGAACTTCCCAGTCTAATCTACAGTTCTGGGTTTTGCTGGTGGACTTCTATCCAAGTTCTACCAGATTCTTATCTGACCTGCCTAACGTATCTATCCTATCCTATCCTATCCTCTTTGTCTCCTTCCTCCTATTTCTCCTACTTAGGCTGGGGGGGGAGGGAAGAGATTCTTACTGGCAGAATTACAATTTACATAGATTTCTTCCTTTCAAAGCAGGGAACTATTTTTTATCAGCATAACAGTACAGAAAGAGAGTGTAAACAGCTGCAGTTCTTTTCAGTGACCTATTTAGTATCATCCCACTGAGTTTGGCCCTGTAATAGACACACACACATATACTCAGGGTAAATAAAGCAGATATGGACCACAGGTTGCCCTCCAGGAGAAGCGGTTCTATAGACTTTGCATCCCCCATCACGGGTTATCATGGCTAGAGATGACTGCAGCTATGATTTAGCAATATTTTCAAGACCCACCAGTACTCCAGATTTAGTGTAGAGAAAAGCTGATTCTCAACAAAGCATGGAAGAAAAGCCTTGTGAGTCTTTAAAAAGATTAAAATACTGACTGGCAACAACTCTCTGGAACAGAGGTGGGTGACCTCTTCAGTCCCAAGGGCCACAACTGTTTATGGGGCTCTGCACAAATACACACAGACAAGGCACACAGAGACATTTATCTTTCCCAGAATGCAGCTATTGGATGGGATGCAGGAAAAGGAGAGGCACCTACAGGTGTCTATCTAGAAGGCAACCAATGGCCACAAATGATTAGAGACTGGTCCACCTGATCCCTGAAACAATGTCCCTATCTTCTTCAACCTTCAGCAATGCTTTCTGAGGTTTATGGGAATTAAAGTCCCATATAAGTGAAGAGAAGAGCCAGTTTGGTGTACTGGTCAAGGCACAAGCTTGAAACCAGAGACCATGAGTTCTACTCCCACCTTAGGTGTGAAGCCAGCTGGGTGACCTTGGGCCAGTCACTCTCTCTCAGCCCTAGGAACAGGCAATGGCAAACCACTTCTGAAATCTTGCCAAGAAAACTGCAGGGACTTGTACAAGCAGTCGCCAGGAGTCAAGACTGACTCGAAGGCACCAAATAAGTAAGTAAGTGAATGGTATCAAATTGTGGGAAACTGCTTTTGAGTCCTGACTCCTGATAGGGGCAGATTCCCAGGCCTGCAGCTGGCAACATCTTTAAGCAATGACCATTCAGTAACAATGACCACTACTGAGCTATACCATAAGATAACACTTTCTCCATGGCATCTTCCCCTCAGACAGAAAGGTTTAGTCCCATCAACCTTCCTCGGGATAAAACAGACCCCCACCCCCACTTAATATTGGCCTTCAGCACATGCCAGCATCAATCTGCAGAAAGAGCCTTCCTTGCAACATCCCCCATCACTCATCTACAGACTCTGGCCTGGCCTGAATGAGGCAGTAGCCTGGAGAGACTCATTTATAAATGTCAGTTTTCAGGATGGCAGTGAACTTCCTTACAATCTCTCAGGTACAAATTAAATATAAGGAAAAGATTAAAGAAAAGAATTTAAAAAAAGGCAGCTCTTGATAGATTGCCATGCCTCTTCTTTATTTGGGAAGGAGCAGGAGGAAGAATAAGAAGAAAGAAGAAAGGGAGGAGGAAGCAGCCGCCCTGGAGCATTGTGTAATAGTATCACAGATGCTGTGGCAATTACAGAGGCTCCATTGCTCATGCCTTGGCTTGAACTAGGCTTTCAAAATTGGTGAATCCCACATACTCCAAAATTCTGCGGCAGTGATGTCAGGCTTTACCCAATCAAGGAGGACAGGAATCACTTAGGAAAGATTACAAGAACCCCGAGAACTTCATGTTAAGGCGGAACAATTATTGATGAGCGTTAGAAAGCCATAACTATAAGGATTTCAGCAACTGTTGTGATTCAAGAACAAGCCCTAGGTAGACAAAAAGTTCAAGCCTTCTCGCCAACTGCTTGGCCCCCTCTTTTGAGTGGGTTGGCCTCCTTCCATCTTTTTTATTTTTTAGCAATAGTCAGCTTTGCCTGATTTCTTTTCCTTTTTTTTTTTTTTTTTTCAGACTGAGAACTTACTCTAACAAGTGAGTACAATCTTGCTGGTGGCATTCAAATGGATATGGGCTGCTTTAATGGGAGAAATCTCTTGCAAATTCATCTGATATTGGCCAAATGAAAGACCCACACAACCAAATACTTGGACCATGACTAACTTCTCATTTTAAAGGAGGTTTTTAGCCAAAATAAATGGATAAAATTGAGATTTCTAGAAGGTAACCCTATAACATAATTAACGGTAAAGTTATAGAGATATGTAAATATACTTTTCAACCATTTTAGATCCAAAAGAAGGTTCTTAAACCTATTTCTATAAAGAAACCCAATTCACTGTAAGTCTGGGGCTTTTGAAACTTCTCTCACTACCTCGAATGCTGCAAATGCAAAGGATCTGCAAGCTCTACTAATAAAAGTAAAGGAGCAAAGTGGAAAAAAAATGGGATTAAAACTAAATATAAAGAAGACGAAACTAATGGCAACAGGTAGAACAATCAGCCTTGGAACTGGCAGTGAAGATACTGAAGTGGTGGAGAGCTTCTGCCTTTTAGGATCAACCATCAACAATAGAGGAACAAGCAGGCAAAAAATATCCTGGAGAGCAGCACGTGGTAGAGCAGCCGCGAAGGCCTTGGAAAAGAGATCCAAATGCCATGGTGTGTCTATACCTACACAGATCAGAACTGTGCAAGCCATGATATTCCCTGTGACACTCTATTGAGACAAAAGTTGGACTTTTAAGAATCAGGATAGGAAGAGTATTGACACTTCTGAACTTTGTTATTAGAGAAGACACCTGAGAATACTGTGGACGGCCAAGAAAACAAACCGATGGATCATCGAACAAATCAACCAGAGTTCTCATTCAAGGCACAAATGACCAGGCTCAAATTATCCTACTTCGGACACATTATGTGAAGATACAGCTCTCTGGAATTCTCTAATGCTGGGGAAGATGGAAGGAAGCATCAAGGCAGATGGACTCAGTTACAGTGCCAATGAGTACACTATTGGAAGAACTGAAAGACCAGGTTAGTCATGGAGGAAATCTATCTATGTGGTCGCTAGGAGTCGAAAACGACTTGATGCCACATAATCAATCCATCAATGGAGTCTGGGTGACCTAGGAGGATACAGTATTGGGAACACACTTAAGAAAAAAAACAGGGTGTTTAAATTCCTCTGCATCATCTACCTCCTTTCCTATGGTATTATCTATAACTTTGGTACCTGTGACATAACAACAAATCCTAAATCTTTCTTACATTTAATGTCTTGCATTTTTAATTGTTACTATTTTATTCCTTGGATTTATTTCCTGCCTTTCTCCAGGAGCTCAGTGACTTCTAGGGGGATCTCCATTCATTTAATCCACAAACTTGTAAAGTAGGCTGAGCTGAAAGAGAATGGCTGGGCTAACAGACAGCTTTCCTGAGCAGGTGTGAACTTGAATCTCCCCATTCCTGGCCCAGCATCTTCACCATTACACGTGCTACCTCTTATACTTTTCTGCAAAATTGTTACTTCTTACCCTTTTTCAGGGTTCCTGCTTATGCATTTGCCATATCAATTGCCAAAAGTACCAGCAGGGGCACGGGGAGAGAGAAAGCAGATAAATTAAGTATTCCACACAGACACCTATGAACCCCCCTGCAAAATGTGTCTTTTGAAATTTTCTTAGCACATCTATCATACTAAAAGTTGGGTTTATAGCAATTACCTATGAACATTGCAAGGAATGCTTAGCCTTCTTTTTTGGGGGGAATGTTGCCATACTCAAATGGCTTCACATTTAATAAGTATGATCCTTTCCAAGGTGCCATGATACCTTTAAATTTCATATTATTCTACCAAGAAAAATGAGGAGCTAGCAGCACTTTCAGTTTTTAAAAAATGCACCTAAACCCAAACTTTCCTGTTACCATGTATCTCGCATTTGGTATCCGTTCCCTCTCAAAAGGGACTTTTCCTAGAAATCTCATCCAAATCTATCAAGCACACATAGAAAACAAAACAAAAAAAGGATTTAACCAGCCTTCCAAAACAATGAATCTCAATCCAAATCAAATCTTCCAGTTGGGGGTGTACCCCTAGTTTATATAATCTGTAAATGCTACAGTTGGGGGGGGGAGGCCTAATTTCAATCCGCACTAATGCATAATATATTAATCAGAAAAAAAGATATTGGGTTTGTACAATTCAGAGTTTTTAATCCAATACCCTGTTTTGCTCAGAGTACTTTTGTTCTCTTTCTTCTCTTCTGATATATCTGAAGGTTCCTTGCTGAAGATTTCCTAGAAGAAAAGATTCAATGAGTAAACAGATACATCTTTCAAACGCTAGACAAATTTAAGGCATTTGCCCCAGTCTTTAGATTACATGTACCCATTATCCTCACCTCATGTAAACACAGATATAAAAACAAGACTTATGATGTATCTTGTATTGGTAACAATCAATCTGAGAAGTACTTGATATTTGCATTCTATGCAATGTAAACATTTAAACAAGTCTTCAAAGTTGGTAGATCAAAGCAAGTTGTGCAAAGTAGTGTTCTTGTAGTAATATTCCTTCTCAACAGCTTGTAGTTTCCAAATTGGGGTCTAACTAAGAGATCAACCTATACCCATCTATGTTTCCCTTTGGAAGGATAACAACTAGGCCTCAGTCCGGCCTTGCTTGAGCCTGTCTGCAGTCTGAAATGGTAGAGTTCTCATCCTGCAACTCGTCTGTTGCTTTACCTGTAGCAAGGCATGAATGGCTGCTGAATAGCAGTCTGGCAAGCCAGTTCACCTGATGTAAACACTGTAGGTAAAAGCTTCCTCTTAAACAGGACATGTTCAGCCTTCTGAAGGATCCCCTGCCAGATTATTTAAATATATTCTTATCTTAGGCAGGAACAGCTAGAATGGAGCATCTCTCCTCAGCAGCTGACAACAGACTAACATGAGGTGTTCTGGACTAGGAGGGGACATCTATTCCTGGTGTTTTATGTAAAATCATGAGAACATACTGTCTACCCACACAATCAACATAAGGGTGCATGGCTAATTGCAGGAGGAAAACCAGAAGAGGAACTTCTCTCCACAGGGTTTCGCTTCAAGTCACTGAAACCCACAGTGCAGTTTCTCTCTTTTTGATTTGTTGGTAGTCTCATTATGTCAGAATGTGCAACTTCATGGTGGCCAGTAGCCACATTTGACATGGGAAGTGGTGGAGAACCACAAATTGCATGAAGTCACCTTACACATGTGGGCGAGCCTAGGCTTTGGAGAAGTTTTGTGGGCTCCAACTGTGAGGTCTCTATTTTAAGGCTTATGCTGTTATTGTCATCAGTTTACCACACTCAAAATGGCCAGTTTACCACACTCAAAACTGTACTGGCAGTTTTTAGTAATCATGATCAGAGGGACCTGGCTTGTGGCAAAAAGAGGAAATGAAGGTGACAGATTTCCTAGCTTTCCACTCAGTGTTCCTACCAATGAATGGTCTAATCATCACCCAGTTGGAGAATATGCACATGTTTTGCTATTATCCCCGTATTATCCATTCACTACAACTGCTGACAGCTCACTGAAATTCGTTGGGAATAACGTAGTAGTATATTCCTTCACTGAGCAAGGTGGTGAGACTGAATGCTCTCTAAGATCCATTGGAAACTGTACATACTGTGCTTTTATGAAAATGCCCCATTTGTTTAAAGATTTAAATTGGGTCTCACATAAAACAGAACAGCAAAAAAACAACTCACTCTAGGAATGTATCTTTGCTGTTTCAGCTGTTCCATTGCATATTACGATTATTATGGGCTATCCAGAGCCATGGAGATTAATTTAATCCTATGCATATTTTTCTGGAGTAAGTTCCTTCCATTACTGAACTAGTAAATAATCCCATTCATATATGTGTGGATGTGTGCTGTGTAACTGGGTGTGTTGGTGCATATTTACATGCGCACACACTCCCTGACATTACACAATATCAGAGCACAGCCCAGCTAAATTAGTTCTGAATTTCCAATGGTGTGAGGAAATTGCTTCATAGCAGAAGCAAATGTCTTTTGAAGTCAATCGGGGGGAAGAAGGATGTCATTTAGCTGTGCTTTTAAAGAAAAAAAAAGTATTATGCTGGGCAAATGTGATTTTTTGTCAAATAACTTTATTAGATTTTAAGATAAGAAAACTAAAAACTAACAAAAACTGATAATAAAGATAGAGAGTAAAGAAAGAAGGAAAGAATGAAAAAGAAGAGAACAAAGTCAAAAGTACAGAAAGAAAGAAAAAAGGAAGGAAAGAAAGAAAGAAAGAAAAAATACAAAAAAGAACGACTTCTGACTTTCCTCACAACAGATATAAGTATACATTTACACTAAACTCTTACTCTAAGTTTATAACATAACTTTCATTTTTTCCATTGTACACTATTATTTCTGATCATCAAATCCATACATCATAATTTCATTTTTTTTTCCTGTTTCACACAATAAGTCCAAAGGCAAATGTGATGTTTTATCACCCAGGCTGATTTTGCAGACTGTGAAAAATAATGATCTTTAATATGGTCAAAGTATATTTTTTTGGATCTTAAGGGGGGGGGGAAACCTTCTCATCTCTATTGAAAACACAACACGGTGCCTCTCACATCCAAGCTCATTTTTCAGCAAAGATACATTTGTCCTGTTCCAGCCAATTTATTTTCCTTTTTTAATTCCTAAGTGTTTCATTAACATTATTCTCCAGGCATTCCTAAAAACCAAAATTATATGCCCTCCATGTCTTGCTCAATATCTTCCTTCAGTCTTGTATCTAAGCAAACAGATGTGTTTATCATTTATAGTATTCCTCCACACATCAAAACTAGGCAGGCTTTTCTACATATGTGCTGTGCCTAAAACTGTATATGAATGGATAGGACTGTCTCTTGTCTGCTCTGCCATCTTGAGTGGGTTTCAGTTCAGTTTCTACACTAATCATCCTGTCTCTGGGCCAGGTTCAGTTCCTGGTAACTTCACTGACACCTTTTTGTTTGTGTTAACATGCCTAGGGGATTTTTCCATTATTATAACAAAGGACAATCTAGCCATAAAAAGTAAAATCTCCCTTAACTCAGACTTGATTCTTGATGTCTATCCAGATGCCTCCATGTTCTTTTCTGGGCAACAATATCAACATGAGTTGCCACTGCATATTTCCAGGGATGTTTTTGTCAACTTTCTTAGGCTTGGGATTTCCTGGTGATTCAAGCATTCTCCATGTCTGGCCCTGTTTAGCTGCTGCAATAAAAGGCAGTTTGCCTTGAATGACAGGAGCTAAGGAGCACTACTTCGCTCTTGCTCACACACGTACGTTTCTTGAATGGATGGGTGATGCCATCCTGGACTAGATATACAGTACCTTTGGCCTTATCCAACAAAGGAAGGAAGGAAGGAAGGAAGGAAGGAAGGAAGGAAG